GCCCGCGCTGGGGGGGCGCAGAGATCGCGGGGCCCGACAGGAGCGGGCGGCCCGACGGGCTCCCGGGCCACAGCTCCCCGGCACCGGGCACTCCGCGGGGGTGGAGCGGGGCCGCCCCGGGGCCCGCGGCTCTTTGCAGAGAGGGAGAAAGTTGCGCGGACCCCCGCGGTCGCTGCGCGGCGTCTGGTGGGGCAGGGCAGCGCGGCGGGCCGGGGCAGGTGCGCGGCGCGGCGCGCAGGGGCGGCGGGGCAGGTGCGCGCCGGGCGGGGCGGCTGCAGAGCGGCACTGGGGGGGTCCCGGCCGGCCGCCGCCTCCCAGTGCCGGGAGAGCCGGGGCCGCGGGGTCAGCAGCGGGAAGCGGCGCGGGATCAGTGTCCGCGTGCCGTGCGGGGTGCGCGGGAGGCCCGGCCGAGGCGGGATGGAGCTCCCCGAGGGGCCAGCGGCGTGTCCGTGTGGTTGTGCACCGGCCGCGGAAGAGCGGGTACGCGGGACATTAAGTTAACGTCTTTGACAAAGTAGGGAATTTCAGTCAGAGCTGACAAGGGACACGGCTGCAGACTAGAGGCGCCCTTGAATGTCGGGCAAAAGTTGCCAGGACGAGCTTTGGAAAGCCGCTAGTTTCCCACAGGTCCCGAGCGCTCAGCAGACCCCGTGGTTTTTCTGGCTGTATGGCGATGTCACCCCAAACCCATGGGTGTGGGGACGGGTGGGGAGCACGTGGAAAGCATCCACGCATCTGTGGCCATAGCTTCGTGGCAGAAGGTGATGTGTTGTTGAGCACAGGACACAGAAACATGTTTGTGTCACCGTGAGGTGTAAAAGCTCAGATCATTTGTCACTTCCATTGCCTGTAGAGGTTTGGCAATATGCAGGATGAATTGTATGGAGGCAGTTTCCTTAGCCATAGATTTGCATGTGGTCCTTTATGTCTTCTTTATGTCTTCTTCTCACAGTTTTTCTCTGAGTTGCCATCAATCACTTTAAGTTTACGACCACTGCAGCTCATTTTGCATTTATTTTATCTGCTTTTCGTCCAGAGCTTACCTTTAGCAGCAATATCACATTCTGTGAAATGTTTATTAATACTCAAGGGTAGACAGAGTATCAACATTTCAGGAGTTGAACTGTGATAAAAAGTACAATGTATATACTTTTCACTAGCAGCTCCCTATTAAATTGTTCTGTAAAGTATCCTGCGTTCGCTGAATGGCACTGTCCGTATATACAGTTAACTTCCCTGCCAGCTGAACTCTGAGGCCTCTCAGTTTATATAACTTATCTCTTTTATGATTGCTTGATAAATTGAGATGTTCATGAGAATGGACACATTTTCAAATTGAAACATTTAATTTGATTCAGGGCAGAATTGTAAATACTGCAATTTGTAGTCTCTAAATAGTGACTCAAAGTGCAGCTTAACTGCTAAATTAAGTAATTTAAGAATTGTGATGTAATGACATGTAGCATGGAAAAAATAGTATATTGGAAAATTTGGCTGAATTCAGAGTAGGAATCTTGAGAACCTTTCAGTATTGTCTCTACACAGAGGCCATGTGAATTATTTTCTTCATGATCAGTGAAATAACAAGGACCAAACTGGCTTGAGAGGAGGAAAATGTTTTCTGTTTTCTACTTTGAGCAGCTTGATTTCTTTTTCTCATTCAGAAGATCTGTTTCCTCAAGCAGCGCCGAGCACGGCTACATGATGGAGGGCCCTGCATCTCCCCGGTTTAAAGGCCTGAACTAATGAGATGCCGAATCCCTCCTGTTACTGAGCTCTGTAGTTGATGGGAATTGCGGATGTTTGGCATTCATAGGAATTGCTGAATACCTTGCTCTGTTGGGCCCTGGGTATCACCAGGTTCATAAAACAAGAGTTGCTTTTTCCTTTAAGGCTAAAGAGCAAGCAGCATAATTTTGAAGTAAATCAGGCACTGATTTTTGCTGCTGCTTCTTCTTATGGAGAAATCCTAGTAAAGTAGTTTCTTACTGCCCAAATAGTTCCTCATCCTTACTGCCTTGTTTCAAATTCCTTGACAGACATCTCGGCTAAGGGAGTTGGATAATCTTTTCTCCCAAGAAAACTTGTGTTAGAACTGTACAGAAAGGTAGTACTTTCTCTCAAGAAAGCTTGTGTCAGAGCTGTGCAAAAAGGTAGCACTTTCTCATTAGTGGCTGATGTGATTTTAGCACTGAACAGATGTCATCTGTTCTCCGAATTTTAGCTGTGGTTTTGTGCATGCAATGCTGTTGACTAGAATAATTTTTATCCTATGCTTCCTGGCTGATTCTGGCAAAGCCATACCCTGTGCAGTGCGTTAGAGTGTAAGATCTAAATATTTCTATTAGCAGAAGCTTGTTAAATTTCTTGCATGGTATTGGCATAATGGGCTGACATGAAGCAGGCAGACTCTGGACCAACGCAAGTAGTCGGCTTGTGAAAAGATGAGAACAATTTCAGCTGTATAAACTGATATCTCCTTGAATTCATCCAAGCATATCCATCAAGTTTAGCACTCTTGTGCTGTTCAGGTTAGGCTAGGGTTCTTCAAAGGGCTGATGAGGGCGCGTTTGAATTTACATCTTCTTTGCATCCTGTAGGTGTCTGAATTAATCTAGGAGAAAATGATCAACATCTTTCTAGATCAAGATGAGTTAACACAATTGATTACAAAAATTATTTATTAATAGTGAGTATGGTTAAATACCTGACATCATACTCATTTTGACAGACCATTCTAGCCAAAGGTTTGGTAACAGCAACTCTTTGAGACTTAGAAATTAATCCGTTTCCATTGTAAATGTCAATGCATATCAAATGGGTACGAAATAAACCCATGTCTGTAGCTGCTGTGCTGTTAAGAGGTTATTCATAGCTACGTTGTAATCATATCTCCTTAAACAAAAGATTTGAAAGTAAATTTGTAAATAAAATACTACTGCTGTGTTTATGGATGGACATAGAAAGTGTTGAGGTCCTTGGTATGATTTTTAATTCCATCGGCATGGAAAACGTTTGGTTTCTGAGGAAGCCACGTTGTGCGAGTTGAGGCTTGAGATGTGGCCGGCGAATTTCAGATAAACTACACTTGGCATGTGAGGAGTATCAAAAGCGATGCATAAACCAAATTTAACCTTCGCAAATTTAAAACTATGCAATTTGGAAAGAAATGGTGCTTCTGGAGATTTCTACATAGATCTTGACAACCAAAGCCTATCTTGCCAGCTCTCTTTTTCTGGAGAGCTGTACAGAGACTTTAGATGTATAAAATATAGTTTTGAGACAATGTGCAGCCAAAGTAGTGGTGACTGTCTAAAGGACACACACTTCCTAATTATTTCTCCCCCTCACCAAGATTTCCTTATTTATTCAGTTCTAATCTAATCAGTCTTGAATTCTGCCTGTTGTGGCCGGGATTTTGCATCCCGCTCTACGTGCCATTCCACTCCCCTTGAGGTGCAAATTGGTTTTGGTCCTCAGAGAATGAAATATTAACTGGCCATTCAATACCCATTCTGTTTCGTCAGGCTAAAGTAGAACTATTTCTCATATTTAAGCCGAAAGGCATGTAAGCCTTAAAGCTGGCAGCCTGGCTGGCTCACGATAACACCAGGGCAAATGGGAGATGTTGCTTAGTACCCAGGTTAAGTGTATGATAACTCCGATGCTTTCAGCTTCCATTGAGGGAAGGAGGGGACGTTGCTCTGGAGCACCTCCTGCCACATGTTTGCGGTGGCAGAAATGGGCTGTGGAGCAGCGGCTGGTGCAGGGCTTGGGGAGGGAAATGGACACTGGGGAGGAAGGATGCATGGCAATGACCTTCCAACCTGGCGCAGAACAGCCTATTTCCTGAGCTGCTGACTCAAGGGTACAGCAAGCCCTCCCCATGTGTGTCCTTGGTTGGGATTGGGCAAGAGAGAGGGGAACCGTGGTCAGGCACCTCGACTTTTCTGGGAAAAGTGCAAAACTTGTAACCTGACATGAGGTTTCTGGTGTGAGTCTGGGAACGTATTGCTGGCTCTCAATCAAGCATAGCTTGACTGCAGAAAAGGAAGGAAAAGCGTGAAGGTTTTAGATGTTGGTGGATTTTGTTTGTGGTTTGTTTTCTTTTCCTGTTGGCAAGTACTATCTTTGTGGTGGATGCCTTCAGAATGTCTTAGGTAAAATAAGCAGGAGCTCTTTCAGTTGTCTTTCAATTAGTTTAGATCGCTTTCAAATGAACACCACTGGACTGAAAGGTCAAACTCGGCCCTGGCTTATTCTGTGCCAATGTCTTGGTCAGTTCTTTACAAAAACAACACTTCTGATATTCCTCAGGTTTTTGGGGTTTTTTTGGTGATGGTCTAATTGTAAGGCCTGATTCTGCCCCTTGAAAAGCTCCATTTGCATCAGCTGGGAGAAAGCAGGAGACAGTCTTTTACATGCTGCCAAACAGGGCTTGACCCTACTCCTCACACATAACAGGATTTTGGTATCCCTGGACTCCAGGGGCATTGCTTGCAGAATGGGACGCTCCTTGATGTGCAGGTGGCAGAATTGGGCCCCTGCAACAGAAATCCTTGTTATTTTATTATTTTCATCATGAGGTAACCAAACTTAACTTGCTTAATGTCCTTTTTGATAAGAAAAGATCTCTGAAGCCAGTGACCTGATAACAGCTCAAGGTGTTGTTTGGATTTTGCATCTGAATTAATGATATTTTTTGGTTTTAATATATTTTTTATCATTCTTTGCTCTCCTGTATGCAAGGAACCAGTAATGTAAACAAACATCATGTCCCTTGCATAGCTCTCTCTGACACCAAATCTCTGAAAATTCTTTTAGTACATCCAGAATACATGAGCACAGGCTGCAAAATAAACATAATGTTTCTAAGTATTAAAAGCTTTTTTTTTTCATCCTGATTGCAAAGTAAGCATTGACTACTGTCTTGATTTTACAGATTATTTCATGCTGAAATTATGCCTATTTGCATGGATAGTCATTCTTTAAAACTAGCCACAGATGCAGTCCTAGGGAGCACGTAGATGTTTTTACAGGTGAACCGAAAGAGATGGGAGCAATTCCAAAAAGTCTGCATGCTGCCTTTGGCAATATACCCTGTTATTGTGAAGACTGTGCTCTGTTAAGCAAATGTAAAGTTTAATATTAGATAAGCGTTGCATGAAAAATATTTTAATTTTCCTCAGTGTTAAAATTTTAAGAAACAGGAAACAGTGTCTAATGCTTTATGTGCAATGTGAGTTTAGCATCACTAGTTAATAAGTCACAAATTATGTCAAGAGCCTTTTACAAAATGCAAGGAAGTGTGTTATCTTTTTATGCTGTGTTCCTGGGAAACAATGAGAGTTCATATAAAGAGAAGGTATCTTCCTTTCTCACGCAGCTGATTGATGTTATTTCTTTCATCTTTCCATATTTTTTCTCATCTTTTCTGCATGTCACAGGAAATAAGATTCTGTGTATTCAAAATGCTCCACGTAAGAAGGGCTTCACTGGGCATTTGAGATATTGTTCTTGGAGATTTTTGTGAAGCACAGAGATGTGACACTGAATATGCCTAATTTCTGCATGCAAAAAATTTAACATCATGTATTTTAGTGTATGAAATACAGAATCTTCAGCCTTTGGTAGCGGGGCTTGCTTTGAGAATGTAAGTTGTGAGAAGGGAAGGAATGTATGGGGAATTCAAAACACTGTTGTGGCTTGTCAATGGTACGTACAAGCCTGTGCTAACGAATTACATTTTGGCCTTTATTTGACCACATCTCTGTAAATAGTATAATACTGATCATAAAATATTTTAATGCATTTTTGCTTTGCTGAATAAATGTTTCCCTAATGATTTAAGAGAGGGGATTTTTTCCCCCAGTGTAAGCGTGAATGCGTCTATGATTTCTTTGCCTTTCACGTAAACATATACCATCCTACCTACAATTATTTGAAAGTTGTTTTTGTAACCTTCAAAGATTTATTTACCAGTTTTGCCTCTCTGAAAAGCAAAACTACAACTGGTTTTTTTCACATTGCAATTGATTTTTTTTTATCCAAATTTTATACAATTTCTTGTTTTAACAATAAATCTTAAATAAGGAATACTTTCATCTTCTTTTGTAACATGTATCTCAATGCCCTAAATTTAATCAATTGGTTGTCAGAGGCTGTGTTCTTCTAATCTACTCTTTCTTCTGAAGATAAACAGTATCATTTTAGGCATTTGTGCAAGAGAATCATATTACTGGTGCTTAAGCAGTTTTTGCTTTTTTAAATCTTAATCCATCTTAAACCAGTGGAGCAGAAATATTTAAAAATGTTTCATTTCAAGCAGAGTGCATAATAAATTGCAATAATTGTAATGTGCCATAAATCCCAGAGCCTATGCATTTTGCATTTTATTCAGGATTGAGGTCAGGAAATTTGGAGAAATTTAAAGAAAATGATTCATCAGTCCTTTTGTTCTGTTGGCCAGGGTCCCAGGATTCTTGAGCTGAGCCCAGCTGACAAGCTTTTGAAGATGGCACAATAACAGTCCAGTGATGCCTGACCATGACAGCACAGCCCTCTTAAGCAGGCAAACCAAGAGAAGAAGAGTTGACATTGGAGTGAAAAGGACGGTAGGGACAGCATCTGCATTTTTTGCAAAGGCAAGAGCAACGTTTTTTAGTGCCATGAATCCCCAAGGTTCAGAGCAGGATGTCGAGTATTCAGTAGTGCAGCATGCAGATGGGGAAAAGTCAAATGTACTCCGCAAGCTGCTGAAGAGGGCGAACTCATATGAAGATGCCATGATGCCTTTTCCAGGAGCAACCATAATTTCCCAGCTGTTGAAAAATAACATGAACAAAAATGGTGGCACGGAGCCCAGTTTCCAAGCCAGCGGTCTCTCTAGTACAGGCTCAGAAGTACATCAGGAGGATGTATGCAGCAACTCTTCAAGAGACAGCCCCCAAGAGTGTCTTTCCCCTTTTGGCAGGCCAACTATGAGCCAGTTTGATGTGGATCGGTTATGCGACGAGCACCTGAGAGCTAAACGCGCCCGGGTTGAGAATATAATTCGAGGTATGAGCCATTCCCCCAGCGTGGCATTAAGGGGCAATGAAAATGAAAGAGAAATAGCTCCGCAGTCCGTCAGTCCCCGAGAAAGTTACAGAGAAAACAAACGCAAGCAAAAGCTGCCGCAACAGCAGCAGCAGAGTTTCCAGCAGCTGGTTTCAGCAAGGAAAGAGCAGAAGCGAGAGGAGCGCAGACAGCTGAAGCAGCAGCTGGAGGACATGCAGAAGCAGCTGCGCCAGCTGCAGGAGAAGTTCTACCAGATCTACGACAGCACCGACTCTGAAAATGATGAAGATGGCAACCTGTCTGAAGACAGCATGCGCTCAGAAACCATGGATGCGAGAGCCGGTGACTCTGTCGGCAGGTCAGACAATGAGATGTGCGAGCTGGACCCGGGGCAGTTCATCGACCGGGCGCGGGCCCTCATCCGGGAGCAGGAGGTAGCAGAGAACAAGCCAAAAAGAGAAGGTCCTAAGGAGAAGGAGCAAGGGCCAAATGCCTTCCACCCTGAAGGCAAACACTTGGCTGAGACCCTCAAGCAGGAGCTGAACACTGCCATGTCACAAGTTGTGGACACAGTGGTCAAAGTTTTCTCATCCAAGCCCTCCCGCCAGCTTCCTCAGGTCTTCCCACCCCTCCAGATCCCACAGGCAAGGTTTGCCGTCAACGGGGAGAACCACAACTTTCACACAGCCAACCAGCGCCTGCAGTGCTTTGGGGACGTCATCATTCCCAACCCCCTTGACACCTTCGGCAGCGTCCCCATGCCTGGCGCCACCGACCAAACCGAGGCGCTGCCCCTCGTCGTCCGCAAAAACTCCTCTGACCAATCCGCCTCGGCCCCGCCGGCCGGTGGCCACCACGCCTCCCTGCACCAGTCCCCGCTCTCGGCCACCGCCGGCTTCTCCACCTCCTCCTTCCGCCACCCGTTCCCACTGCCCCTCATGGCCTACCCCTTCCAGAGCCCCCTGGGCGCCCCATCGGCCTCCTTCCCAGGGAAAGAGCGCACCTCCCCTGAATCCCTCGACCTGACCCGGGAGACCACCAGCCTGAGGACCAAGATGTCATCGCACCATATGAACCACCACCCCTGCTCGCCGGCCCACCCCCCCAGCGCCGCCGAGGGCCTCTCCTTGTCCCTCATTAAGTCCGAGTGTGGCGACCTGCAAGACATGTCCGAAATCTCGCCCTACTCGGGAAGTGCAATATCCTTTTCAAAAGATGAGTGATAATCGGCAGTGGCTGGTGGAGAGGATGAGGGGCCATGCTGGTGCCAGGGGGATTCCCACAGGTGCTGCGGGAGCGGGGTGCTCACAGAGTGCTGGGGGCAGCTTGGCGAGGCCAAATAAAACGTGTGGTGTTGACTGACAGCACTTTTTCAGCAATGACGTTCACCTAAAAAAGCCACTGGCCCTCCCCCAGCCTTTAGTCTGCCTCGTGGGGTCAGGAAGGTAGCCAAACCCATGACCTGGGTGCCAGTGGGTTTCCCTGGCTGGCAGACTTTTCCTCAGGCAGGGAGTTGATTGAGGGGGCATCACCCTCAGCCAAAAACCATTCCAGCTACAGCCAGGCCACCTTCTCTCCCTCCCCTGCCAGACCAGTGCACAATCCCTGTATGGTCTGGTCGTCTGTGAGAGTTCAGCTCTCAAGTGCATAAGGGAAATGAAGCACAAAAGACACAGGTACTGATATATTCAGGCTGCATCAAGTTCTTTCCCCCACCCAGAGGTCTGTTCCTCAGCCCTTGTGCAGCTGCCTGCTATGCATGATTAACCTCTGTTCAGCCATACACAGAAATCTTTTGTCCTAACATACACAAAGCAAATTATTTTGGAAAGCCAGAGAGAACAATTAAATATAAAACTTCAGCTGTATTAAATTTACAGGACGCTTGTGCTGCTTAAAAAAAAAAAAAAAAAAAAAAAAAAGATAATAAAATCTTTCATTTTAGCTCAATAGCAGGCTTTAGTTAGGGTGACAAATCCATCTCTGCCTTTATTTAGGCATATCCAGACACAGTAATCATCTTTTTTTTTCTTTTTTTTCTTTTTTTTCTTTTTTTTTTTCTTTTTTTCCCTGGAAACTAGTTACTAGGGGGTTTTTGGGTTGGTTTTTCTTTTTTGCTCTTTTAGCAGTAATGCTTCCCAGTCCTTCCATCTTTTCCCATAACGTGCTTTTTGGTCAAAAGGTTTTGCTTCCAGTTACAGTTGTGTTGAAAGCAAATAAAATAACGTCTATCCCATGCTAAAATTGAGGATTTTGCATGAAGAGTAGATGAATAATTTTTCCCAGCTCCAAGACCCCGGCAGAAGGTAACAGTGCGAGCACTGAGCCCTAGATGCATCTAATTTCACTCCCAAAATGAATGAAAGTAGTAGCAACAGAATAGCTCTGCCCCTCTCTGGGTAGCAGTAGCAACGATGAGGAACTTGTCCCCTTTGGAGAGGTATCTTGTGGAGGCAGATGCCTGAGGCTGAGCTTCTTCACTGTAATCTTCTAGGTGATTGATGACACTAGTGGTTTTAGAATAACTCAACATTTTCTTAAATCCTCAGGAGGGTGCTATCAGGGCTCTAGACCTGCTGATTACGTGGATTTCTTATCCCTCCCATGGTAGTGGGCACCACTGGGGCAAGGCAAGCGCTGCAGGTCCAAAGCCTATTACCACCACTCTTTGATCCAACTTGGGTCTCGTCTGGGTCAGGATTGGTGCTGTCTAACCTGTGTGAATAGTCCCATTTCTATAGGGTAAAATGTTTTGTGTTGGAGAGCACCTTCTTTAGGTGCTGGTGTTTTTTGAGAATGAACTTGTAGTGGGTGTGGTGTTTGATGTACTCTTCCCCAAAAAGAAGAGTAGAGCGTTGGTAGCAGGGAAATCTTCTCCACGCTGTGTACATTTTAAGGCAAAAGAGGAGGCAGTCTAGGAGCAGCATCACTCAGAGGTGGCCCCAATTACTTGGGGAGCTCCAAACCAAAGATCTCTCCTGCATGTTGAAATGCAAGTGCAGTGCTTGGAAAGCAGTCCTGAGGTCGACAGGAGAGGCAGCTGAAGGCAAGACTCAGGCCAGGGCAATTAATTTCTACCAAACAGTACAGTGGCATACTAATTGTTTTTTGTATTAATGTAGTTCTCTCATCCTGGGAGAGCAGTGAGGAGAGGAGAAACATGCCAAGAGTGGGAACTAGGAGTAGTTCTAGGGCTGCACTTGGTCCTTGCCACCCGTGGAGCATCTCTCCCCCACCCCTCCCATTTCTCCCCCTTTCTGCTGCTCATTCTCACTGATGCTTGCTAATGGAGCTTGTTGCTTCTGCTGAAACAGGGGTGCAAGAGTGCCCTGCTGCTCCAAGGGATAGCCAGGAGAAATGCCTGGTGCTACAGTGTTCCCGTTTCTTTTTCACTGCCCTGCTTCTTTCCGTGCCATCGGGAAGGCACTCTGACTTTCCCACCTAGGCACTAGTGCAGACTGCCATTTGTTCTGGGTTTAGATGCAGACCAGATTTATTAAATAACGCTTCTACACGTGTACCCTGGTATACAACTCAGCTGTAGGAATGGATGTTTTTTTTTTTCTAGCAGCAGCTCATGTGTCCAGGTAGCTTACAATTTTCCAAGGAAAGGCGTGGTGTGGAGGTTGGTTTGTTTCTGGTCAATTCTGTCATGGAACTTTTATTTTACATGGTTGAATGTGCCTGTATAGGGAATGTATTTCTTGAAAGAAGCAGATCTTTCTTCCCCGCAGAAAGTAACATCTGTTTTCCTGGACAATGAAGCCAGGATGAGAGCATAAGACCAGCAGATACAGCCAAGTTCAGGTTTTAGTAAACTAGCCTGGGTTTTGTTTTCTTGGATTTTATTTTTTTTTCCTAACCAACGGCTGTAAAATGTATCTGATCATTCTTTGCTGAATTGCAGAAGGAAATGGTTAATGTTTGTGTATGTTGCTAAACAAGATAAGATGCACCTGCAGTCTGAATTCCCATCTTGGTCATGAATGCAGTCTGTATCTTTGCAAACTAATCTGTTTAATCAAATATTAAGTTTTATTCAAATTCAAAAAGAAACAGACAGTGAATTGTTTTTCTGCATGATCTTTCTTTGTCATGCATCCTCTTTGCATCTCAAGAAAAATAGCCTTGTTCAGTCACAAAACATTTGCATAGATCAAAATTTAAGCACAACAGCAGTTTGTGTGCTGCTAAGACTTCTGTAAAGGTGAAGAAGTTTAGCATGTTCTCCCTGGCAGGAGGGTTTAGAAACATTAGTGCATCTTTCTACAATTTTATTTATTTTTAAACAGAATTCCAATCCAACTGAATAAGTTTCAAAGTCCCAATATGCGAAAGCTATAATTAGTGAATTACAACATTTTGAAGTGAGGAGTTATTACATCTGACTAGAATTAAACTAATTAAACTTAAAAAAAAAAAAAAAAGGAAAGATTGTATAGGAAGCTGGATAACTCCGTGCTGTTGATAAAACCTGGGCGATGAACGAATGCTTTGCAGCCAGCCAGCCCTTCTTTGGAGGGATTTGAAGATGCTCTGAGATGCAGTTACTTGGAGCTTTGCTGATTAAAAGTACCAGAGGTGTAACTTAAGGAGCAGCTTGGCTTTACTGCTGCAGATTTTTTTTACCTGATACCGCCTTACCACTTTTCCTTCAACTCAATGCATGCGTGGGCTAGAAAAGCCTGTTAGAGTGTTTGTGGGGGCTCAGGCTGAGAGTAACAGGAGTGAAAGATCATCTGTGCTGAAAAATATTTTTGCAAAAGAGGAGCATTACCGGGGAGGAGGATTGAAGTGCAAATGAATGAAGTGCTGTTGAGTGCCACCCCTGTGCTCCTCCTGTTAAAACACAGAAGAGCATGTATATGTTTTGTCCCCATATGTTTTGTCCCCAGTCTTTCACTTCCTATTTCTTAGGGCTTTCCCATTTTTCTGCTGCTGCTGTGTTAGGTGAGGCAGTGTTGTACTGTGTAAACCCACAACGCTGAGACTCTCAGGTTGTTTGAACACTGCTTTAGGTTCAGCTGCAGTACACTGTTCCTCTGATCTTTTATGTTCCTGAGCAGATGTCTTTCATTAATTTATGGATTTATCATCTTTTCTTTCTCTCCTTTCTTTTTTTCTTTCCTTTTTTCTTTTTTTTTCTTTTTTTTTTTTTTTTTTTCTCTCCTTTTTTTTTTTTTTTTTCTCTCCTTTTTTTTTTTTTTTTTTTACACCTGGCAGCTGGCTCAAGTTTCAGCAGTTATTGTCTATTTTGCATTACCCATAGAATTGAATGTCATCTGTCTTCACAAAGCTATAGCTAAGAGAATTGAGGCAAGCCACACGAGCTGCTGGGACAGAGCTTGTTTGCGTTCCATTCGGCACCCCTCCTCCCTTTACCTCCTTAATATTTATTTGTGCTCGTTTTCTTTCCTGGCCTTGAATGGGGCTTAGCTCGTGTTCGGTACAGCTGTATGTTTACTGAATCTATTTCATCATGAGTCATTGTGCGTGTGTAAGTATCCTGGAAACAGCTAGTGCTTTCTTGGAAGAACAGTTGCTTTTCAGCCCAAGCACTTAAAAAGGAAATTAAGCAATTGGTCAGTTCAGTTGTTTTTTTTTTTTTTCTTAAATAGCAATGGGTTATCTAATTCTTAGCTCTTAAGTCTGTCATTAACTGTTTTTTGCTAGATTATTACAGATCATATCTTTTATCACAGTAAAGCGTTAACCTTAGGATCAAGATATACAGATTTGTTGCATATTTGATATTACTTTAAGGCTGCCAAGTGCTTAAGAACAAGTATAATTTTAATAAAAAATGGATTGCTGGGAATTTGAGTCTCAGAGCATCTTTTAATACATGCTTCATTCAATATCAATATCCTTTGGCATTAGAGCAGAAAATATTTAAAAATCCCAAATGCAAAAGGAATCCAAATGCTTAGACAACTGTCTAATATGCTTAAATCCAGCAAATGTGAGAGGGGTTTTTTGAAGTTTAAGTCCATCCTTGAGCTTGCATTGAAAGAGAATATACACCAAACCCGATGTTAACATGTTGTCAGCGTCAGAGGAATTGCAAATTAAGGAGACTCAGGATTACTTTTTTTTCTCTCCTACTGGAGTTCCCCTTTGGACCCCCACTTTCCTAAAAGGAGCACATAACAAAATGGATTTCTGGCATAGAAGTTTTGATTTGTCTAAAACTCTTATCACTGAGCAGTAGGTGACAGCTTGCTACTATTATTTCACTTACGTATTTTGACAGATGGCACTGCAGAGTGTAATGCTCTTTTAGACTTCTCTATCAGTCTAATGGAGGTAACTGGAGGTTCTTTCAACTCTTCTCTTGGCACAAGAAGTATGTCAGTCATAAATTATCTTCTTTGTAATCATTAAGCATCTAAAACAAAATGCAAGTTCAGCTGAGCCGTTTTCCATGTACTTCCAGATAATAAGTGGTTTTTAAACTAATATTGTCAATGCCTTTTTTTTAAAATGCTACATTTTTCTAATCTAAAAATGAACTTTTTAACTGAAATAAAGGGAGAGGGTTTCAGCAGATTTCAGGAATTAGGGGAAAAGGAATTTTGCTGAAAAAGCCTAGCTAATCATCAGTAGGCTGCTGATAAAAATTAGTCTGGGTTTCCCATCCTGAGGCCTGGAGTGGGCTGTTCTGTGCTGACGTGCACCCGGCTGTAAGGCAGAAGAGGCACCTTGGCTGCAGTGCATCTGTCAACTTGGTTGACCTTCCGCCCGCCGTAAGGTGTGAACCGAGCGAAATTTTCAGCAACTGTGTTTAGGAGAAACAGTCCTTAGAGAAGCTTCTGGGAAGAACCCTTAATTGACCTTGTGGGGGCCACATTGATTTTCTCCACGTGCGTCTTCATTTCTGATAAATTATAAAGCCATTAATTTGCTGAGGAAATGGCAGGGCCAGCCTGCGGCACAGATGTGACCAGAGCCGTCCTAGCACGCAGTTCACAAAAGGGAGCCAAGAAGCTGGGAGAAAAATCAGCAAGCCGAGATTGTTATGGTTAGCTTCACATTCCCTTGGGAACTCTTTTAGTTGCTTCTGTTTACAGATCTAAAAGGTAATGATGTTTCCAGGATAAATAGGCTGCCTTATAGGGTAAGTGGCCATTTATTGATCTGCTAGCCCTCATGTATTGATTGGTTAGCCCCAAATACAGCTCCGTTCTCCAAGGAGTTAACTGTGTAAATCAGGAGGTGACAAGTTTGTGGTAGAGGGATTCAGCGGTGAAGGGGCTCTGCCTGCTACAAATTTCACTTTGATTTGCAGGCAAGCCACTGGAGCAAAGCAGCAGCAGGGCTAGGGAGATCTACCCAAGATATTAAAATTTATCAACACGCATGGAGCAGGTGAAATGTGCTGTCTGTGTAAAACTGCTCAAAATCATACAGTGCGTCTGATTGTCTTACATGCATTGGTTTTATTGTGTGCAAGTAGCACAACACCGAGAGGAAAAGAAACTTTAGCTGGCATTGCAAAAGAGGAGAAAAAAGCTCCCGATAAGTTTTCTGCGGCACATGCTTCCTGCATTTGTTTCCGTAGCAACAAGTGAACGTACATATGGTACACAATCTGTAAACTTGCAAGGTCCCTGAGACCCAGCACCTAAACTGCTAGGAAGCACAGGGTTAAAGTAACGTGGCCTCTCATCCTATGTTTGCCTGTTTTACAGAAAATTGCAGCGCGGCAGTTCAGATGTTAATACTTCCTCCTGTAGTCTGGGGAACCATAGAGTATTTAACGGGGCGCTTTCCTAGCTCTGTACATTCAGAAACAGCTTTCTCAAGAAAAGAATTTTCCTTTACTAATTCAATCCTACATGCAGGAAGGCTTGTCACCGAATCACTTGAAAAAGGCCAAGCTCATGTTCTTTTACACTCGGTACCCAAGTTCCAATATGCTGAAAACCTACTTCTCAGATGTAAAGGTAAGAAAATCTCTTCCCCCACCTCTCCTTTCTCCTTACTGCATGCTGTGTTTTCTCACAAAATGGTATTGTTTTATCATGTTAGGAATTAGTAATATTTCTGGGTACATAAAGGTTACATCCTGACCTTATTCACTTGTTCTTCCTGTTGAGGTGTACCCTGCTTGTGCCTGGGTGAGGAAAGGGAATATTTCTAAATCTAAGAAAAATTGAAATTTCAAAGCAAATTAAGGATAATTATTACAGTAAATTAAGGGGTCTTCATTATATATCCTATTAAAAAAGGAGATTTTTGTGGTGGTAGAAATGTACTTCCAAGAACATTTTGGAGCAGTTTTCAAGTGCTCTCTCATTGTTTCATTTCGGTTGGTTTCTTCATATTTGTGCTTACATAAGCAGAGTGTAGAATCCCTTTCTTTCTGTCAAAAAGAAACAGTACATTGAAATTCTCCATGCAGAAGCTGCTTAAAAACAAAAGTGATGATTGTCTCTTATTTACAACTTAATTTGTTGTTGATGCAGAGTACACTGAGCATAAGGA